TCCTGGAGGGAAAATCCTTCTTAAAAAAAAAAAAAAAAAAAAAAAAGTGTAGTGGGGAAAACATGGTCCTTAGAATTTGATCTTGATTTGAATTCTTTGGGAACCACTGTGCATTAGCTGTATGATTTTAGGGTCATAACTTAGCTTTTTCATGTCTGTTTAATGAAAATAACACAATTTTCCTCATAAATATGTTAAGAGACTCAGGTAAAGCACTTGGCCCAGAACCCTGAACATAGCACATGCACAGAAAGTGAAGAGCACAGGGCTGCATCAAAAAAACCAAAGTGGCCACCTTGGCAATATGGTTAGAGCATGCTCAACTACAGTGCTGGAAGCCACGTGGCTGACTGAGGGTTCTGATCCTGAAGTTGACCTGAAAACTCACTGGGTCACACATGCTCAAAATCCTGATGAACTGAGGGAGGCTGGAAAAGGGGGTTGCAGCATGATAAGACCCTGTTGAAGGGTGTATCTCTCTCTCACATGTATGTTCTCTCTCATGAATAAAATAAATTTTAAAAAAATCAGAGTAACTACAGTACGTCCTTTTTTTCCTTAAAACATAAAGCCTACCCCCATATTAAGTCTATAAACCAAGGACTAAAATTATCCTGAAGGGATGAAAAATAACCATTTGCTAGAATAATTTTTTTGCTGCATACTCTCAGTTGTAGCCACTAGAATCAGCCCTTACTCTAAAAATCATGTCTTGAGCTTTCCCCAAAGTCTATTTCACTGTGTCTAGTCTACAGTTTATCTCATCTACTGAACTCTTTTATGTCCATGAGTATATATTTTTCCTTTCCATGATTTTCAATTGGATCTTTTTATATTTCCTCTTGTTTGATTTCTGGTGAGTTTCACCCCAAATTTCCTAACTTCTTATTCTTTGCATTAGATGGTATTCTTCGAAGTAATTTTCTTATTGTCCTATTACTTTCATTTTATCTAAAGTGAACTCATTTCTTTACTGTTAACTTCAGTGGGGTGCCTTTCTTACTGTTATTTGTCCATTAAAATGTTTTCAGGCTCATTCTAAATGGGAATTCTCCCCTCTGTCTACATCCTCTAGGCTCTGTCTAGTCACATTCTAGTACTCATCACTCTGCCCAAGCCCCAGTCCAGGGCCAGGTACTCCACTGGCAGTCAAGGACGTATTCACTATGGTGACATTGAGGATGTCATAGTCCAGTGTCACTGGGCTAAGTGCTTTACTTAAGTCTCACAACATCTTTATAATGAAAATAGTGTTATTTTCATTAAACAGACATGAAGAAGCTAAGGTAGGGGCCTAAAATCACATAGCTAATGCACAGTGGTTTTCAAAGAATTCAAACAGAACTAAGGTTTTTGGATTTGTCCAGGTCTTGAATGAAAGGCTGGGATTCCTGCAGCTTTCCTAAGTTTTTATATAGTCACTGCCCAACAATGCATACCGGCCATTTTTGAGGTTATTTTATTCAACCTTCATTCCTGGGCAGAGAGCCCCCAGTCTCTCCCATGGAAACTGACTCTGGCCCCAGGGGATGCTTAACTTATCAGGGCACTCTCCCAGCCACCTTCCTTCCAAGTGGTTATAGAACGTTCACCAGATGTACCACATTTTGAGCTTTGAGACAAACCCCAATACACTGAAAAGAACTGAAATCATATAAAGAGTTAAATGAGATGTCAGTAACAGAAAGTTACATGGAAAAGTCTCCAATTTGGAAATTAAATAACATACTGATACATTACTCATGGATTAAAGATATGTCACAAGGGAAACTGGGAAACTTTTTGAATTGAATGAGAATGAAAACACATTTCAAAACCTATGGGACATAGCTAGAGCAGTATCAAGGGATTATGTTCGAAATATAAAAGGTTTTGAGTCAATAAAATAAGGCTTTCTCTTAAGGAACTAGAAAATGAATAGCAAATTATATCCAAAGCAAGCAGAGGGAAGAGAAAAATATGTGGAGAAGAACAGAAATTAATAAAACTGGGAAACAGAAAAATAACGGTGAAAATGGTTAAGAAATAAAGATCAACAAAACTGATAGGCCTCTATCAAAAATAATCAAGAAAAAGAGATAAGACAAATTGTCAATATCAGGAATGAATGAGAGGGTGTCAGTACAGAAGAGTAGTGATCTGAGGCTTGGACAAGTGAGATATTGCAGATAATTAAAGGGATAATCAGAGAACATTATGAACCATTTTATATTAATATATTTGGTCATTTAGATGAAATGTACACATTATTTGAAAGGCACAAACTTCCAAGAAAAATAGTCTCTTATCATTTAAAAACATTTTAAAATGTATTTACTTATTTCTTTCATGAGAGACAGACAGACAGACATCCCCAACAGGGTTCTCACACCGTGATCCACCCTTAGTGTCAGCTACTGGGATCATAGCATGTCCATGCCCAGCATGCTTAGGGGAGTCCTAGGATATGAACCTAAGAACGTTTCCAAGGTGAGTCCAGCTGCATCGTCACTGCACCACCACCTGGCTTCTCATACCTATTTTTAAATTTGAATGTATGGTTCATTAAAAATAAAATAAAACAAAGTTTCCAACAAAGAAAACCCCAAGCCTATTGACTTCAGTGGAAAATACTATCAAACATCTAAAGAATTAATACAGTTAAACACAAACCTGTATTTGAGTGTTCTGAACGCAAACACTGAGCTAAAGGCTCTATGAGAAAAATTAGCCCAGAAATGTTCAGTAAGTAAAGAATGCTCACTTAGGAATATTAGTGTTGGCCCAACTGAATGGTGCTGTGCTGTAGCTGAGGCTGCCGGGAGGCCTGGCAACGTGGCATGTGCCTGCAGTCTTAGCTAACTGGGAGGCTGGAGCAAGAGGGTCACGGCATGGTGACATGCTGTTGAAAATCTCTCTCTCTTTTCTCTCTCTCTCTCTCTCTCTCTCCCCCTATCCCACGCCTTTACTCTCTAGTCTCATTAAAAAGGAGAAGGAGGAGCAGAAAGAGAAAGAGAAGGAAACAGAGGAAGAGAAATAATAATTTTGCGTGCTCACACACACTTTCTACCAGTAAGAATCTGATCTTCATTTGGATCAGAGGTAGAAGAAAACTACTGAGCCTTTAGTGGAGTAACCTCTCTCCCTTTTCTGCCTGGAGAGTCTTCAGGCTTGAGCATGTTCTCCATGTACTCTCTCTGGGCCCACCGGAGACATACCCTTAGGTCCTTGGCCTGGGTTTCCACGTGCCTCATCTGCTCCAGAGCGCTTGCACTGACACTCAGGCCCTGCAGCTGAGACTTGAGCAAGCGCAGCTCCTCGCCCATGCTGGCCAGGTCATTCAGGAGCGTCATCACACAGCTGTCACAATCTGCAGGGCAACAGTCAAAGGCAAAGGGGCTGAGGGGCTGGAGCAGTGAGAAGGCAAAGACTCAAGGGGCGTACAGCCCAGTGAATGTGCACACAGGTCATCACAGGCAAAAATCACCACCTGGGCTTCTTGGTAGAGATGCTGATTCTGGAAAAAGGAGAGCCCTTTACATGAGGCCATTTGAAAAAGAAATAGCGATTCTCTGCAAATCATTGCTTATTTTGTATGTGGGGAAAATAAATAAATAGCTTTTATTTCTCGGGTCCAGGCATTGTGCTAAGGGGTTAATATACATTTCCTCAACACCCTTATGAGGTAAATCTGGATAATATGTCCATTTTATAAATGATGGAATTGAAACTCAGAGAAGTAAGGTTGCTTACTGAAGGCCAATCAGAAAAATAAGATAAAAGTACCACTCTGGATCCTACCACTCAAAGACAATGTTTCCTTTATACATACTTGCGTGTATTTTAGCAACTGACAGAGGCTAGGCTGGACCCTATCTATCCTCCTTTGACCTCTTCCCACCGTTGCTTTCCCAGACCGGAGGCTGCACATTTCAGCGTGGAGCTCCTGCATCTTAAACTAAACTCTACAACTTGGAAAGGGACAGGGTATGTGGGGGGTTCTTTTCTCACCATCACATTCTTCTGAAGGGCCGCCATCTTTGGGTTCTTGGTTTATGCAGTCTGAAATCAGGAAATAACCAAAGTAGACACCGTTACTAAGGCCACTCTTTATCTGCATTTATTTTTAGAGGTTTTTGCTATAGGCATGTCCACTTACTGTAAAGATAGGGAGAGACAGAGAGACAGAAAGCAAGAAATCATCCCTCAAGAGGAGTGGCTGTGCTGCAATGCCTTCTTCTCCATTCTCACATTGGGATTTGGGACATGCATACACACGCTCCTGGCATGAGTTTTTTAGGTTGTTGGGTCTGAGACTCGAACAGTAGCTATGTGGGAGTCCGAAGATATAACCGTTATGCCAACTGCTGGTCCCTTATTCTACATTTTAGCTCAGTTTTCATAACAAATAGTTTGGGTAGATTTTGTTTGCCAACTTCCCAGGACCGCTGACTCTCCTTTCTTTCCTCCCTTACCTATATCATCATTCAGAGTTTTCTCATTTCCAGCTAAGAAACGGGCAGAGGATCACAACATGGCAAGACACTGCCAAAAATCTATTTCTCTCTCTCTCTCTCTCTCTCTCTCTCTCCGTCCCTCCCTCGCACACTTTGCTCTCTGTTTCCTAGTAAAAAGGAGAAGGAGGAGGAGAAGGAGAAAGGAAAAAAGAAAACAAGGAGAAATACTCATTTTGTGTGTTGAGCAAGCTTGTTGCAGAACTTCTTTTGTGGCCTGATTATGTATTCCATTTCTTCTCTACAAAAAGTCATCTCTATAAAGAACCATGCTTTTCTTAACAAATTAAAACTAATCATGAGTGTTAAGGTTTCCTCCATTGGATAGCCTCCTGCATGTCTACACTTTATCCAGTATCATTGAAGAACATGGAATAGAACTTGTTGGAGCACCTTTGAGCACCCACTGCCTGCCATGGCAGAAATACACAGATATCAAGATATCCCTGCTGGTCTGTGCTTTAACAGTCCTGTTTTGTAACAGACAAGTTACACAAGTTACAAAACAGGGTGACAGATGATATGACAGAGACAGGCACACATTACTGGTGGGCCCATACCACCAGATACCGCACACATAAGCTGTGTTTTGGCCATCCTTGGACATTCTTCACCCCTTTCACATCTACTCTTTTTCCCACATCAGTTACCAGCCCCATGTATGAAAAAGAAAGTAAGAAAGAAGGAAAAGAAAGAGACAGAGATAGATATTTTAAAAAGATTTATTTATTTTTATTTGTTATTACGATTTACCTATTAATTTGACCAGAGGGAGACAGAGAAAGAGAGAGCACGGTGCCAGTCTGGGACTTGAACCATGGTCGGCCATGTGGGAGTCCAGTGTCTTAACCATCATGCCATCTGCTGGCCCCAAGATAGATATTTTTGACAGGATCTCCCTATGTCATAATCCTCCTGCCCCAGTCACCCAATTAGCTAGGATTACAGACACATGCAACCATGCCGAGCATATTCAGAATAACCAAGGAACCAAACATGGACCTCCCATGTGACTTCCAGCCTTCTAAGTAGTAGCACTACCTATATGCCACCAGGTCCTACTCAATGGATGCCTTTTTCTTTTTTTCTTTAATTTTGCTAGATGATATATGTGCTCATGAGAGAGAGAGAAAGAGAGAGAGAGAGAGAGAAAGAGAGAAAGTATCCTTCTTCCCCCCATAGGGCATGATCACACTGCAATCCTTTCTCCTCCATCTCTCCCTTCTTTCAGGATTTTGGGTATGCACATACATAGGCCCAGCATGTTTCTTAAGCTGCCAGATCTGGGACTTGAACTGCATGGTTGGCCACGTGGAATCCAGTCACGTTAACTACCGGTCCACAGGCCCAACCATGCATTCTTATACTAAAATGTCCTCTAAATTTCCTCTGAAAAATAATCTAACTTCATCATAGCAACACTATAAATTTGAAATCTTCCAAAATATGCTACAAGAGGATTTCATGATTGTTATTCTCTGCAGCCAGGAATATTCCACTCTTTGTGTGTATATATGTATATTTTAAACCACATTTACTTTTTTTCTTAAAAAGCACGTGTTAGCTCACTGGAGAGAGACAGAAAGAAAGAGAGAAAAATGACAAAATGTATCCTCACTGGACAACGGTCAAAGTGCAATCTCTATTGCAGAAATTGAAATATTGGACAGTATAAAACCACGGAGAGCAACTGTGAATACCAGAGATAGTGGGGGAGGAGGGTGGGAAATGGTGAAGGGTGAGAGGGAGGGAATCAAGAAGGGAAAAAAGAAGTAAAATATAGGAAAATAAATAAATAAGTAAAACAATGTGTAACCCCTTTTCCTCCGTCTTGTCCTGTTGTCAGGATTTTGGACATGCGTACACACGTTTGCCATGTTTCTGAAGCCACTGGGTCCAAGACTCAAACTGCTCAGTCAGTCATGTGGGATCCAGCGCTTTACCATGCCACAAGCTAGTCTCATATTTACTTTTACTTATTAAAAAAAAAAAAAAGAAAAAGTTCATCACAGAAAATATGAGAAAATAAGAAAAATAAGATAAAAGCACCACTCTTGATTCTACCACTCGAGGGCAATCAATATTTCCTTTATATACACTTGAATGTATTTTAATTTTAATACATAATCATAGGTTTCTTTTTGATCAGGTTAAAAATAATCTTTTTAAAAAATTTGCTTGGAGAATGCATGTGCTCACCAGAGACAAAAAGAGAGACAGGAACAGCAGGAGTGTGAAAAAGCACCCCCCACCACCACCATGGGAGATAGCCATGCTGCAATCCCTTCTCTCCTATTTCTCCTTTTGGAATTTTGAGCATATGTATATACATGCCCAGCATGCTTTTCAAGCCACCAGGTCTGGGACTTGAAGCATGCAGTTGGTCATGCGGACCCAGCTGCCTTCACTACCACACCACTGACTATTCCTTAAAACTCCTTTACACATCCTGATATGTATCTGTAGCTGCAGCACTTTAACTTCAATTAGTTGATGAATGCTTTCCAACCAGGAAACTTTTTTTTCTTTGCTGTTGTTTTGTGTTTAGTTTTTGTTTTCCGGCCCATTCCCCAACACACACACACAAAATCTCCCACAGCCAAAGTCTATGGGGGATACAGCTGATATGGATGACTGAATTATCAGTGAGCTTTTTTCAACAAGTTTGGGTTTGATCACCAAGAAATCTATACATGATTAGCTGGGGAAAAAAAAATAACGAATAAGAGTAAAAAAGCTCACAGGAACGAGCAAGTGTCATGTGTGAGCAATCTCTCCCATTTTTGGAACAAATGGTTACCATCCTCATTTCAGAGCATTTATTTTTGCTGTTTGAGTAGGGGGGAAAGAAGGTTGAGGAAGCATTAGTCTTAAGAATAAGATGCGTGTGATCTTGAAAGTTCCTGAATACCTTCAGTGACAGCAAAAACACCACCTTTTAAAACAGTCTGCTTTATCTTTAAATAACTTTAAAACATTTGACACTTCTTCCTTAGAATGATTTAAAATAGATCTCCCTCTTCCTTCAATTCCTCAGTATAAGTTCTATTCCTTATGTCACCGAGAACAAAACCAAGCCTTCTCTTATACACCAGCCTTTCAAATATAATCCACCCTCCATATCCTTGGGTTCTGCATCTCATGGATTCAATCAACCCTAGATTGAAAATACTCCCCCTTCACCACAAAAATTCCACCACCAACACCAATAAAAAATTTAAAAATGCAAATTTAAAAATACAGTATAATAACTATTCACTATTGACATAAAGTTTATATAGTATTATAAGTAATCTAGAGATGATCTAAAGTCTATAGGAGGATGTGTGTAGGTTATATGTAAATATTACATCATTTTATATAAGGAACCTGAGCATTCTCAGATTTGGGTAGCTGCAGGAGCTGTAGAACTAATCCTCTGTAGATATTGAAGGACGACTGTACGTCTTCCAGATATTTTCATTGGCCTGGTCAGTCCTTCCTATGTGACACAGTTCTATTAATAAATCCCTTAACAGTCTCACCCTCTTCCAAAAAGAAAGATGTAGCTTATATATTGTCTTCTAAAGATATAAACCTCAGGGCCAGCAGGTGGTGTGGTGGTTAAGGTGTTGGACACTCCCATGTGGCTAACCACGGTTTGAGTCCCGGATGTGGTGGCTCACCTTCTCACTTTCCCTCTCTCTCTCTCCAGTCAAATTAAAATGAATGAATAAGTGAAATTAAAATAAATAATTCTTTTTTTTAAAAAAAAGATATAAACCTCATGTGAGGACTTACCTGAGCAATGTGCCATGGGACACTGGCTCATCTAGCTTTAAAAACCAGAACTCTGAAGATAGTGTGAGGCGTCTTAAAGGCTGCATCACAGTCTTGAGCACACTGAGCTTCCTGCTGCCTACAACCATAAGCTAGCCTCCATCCCCTACTAGTAAGCCACATCTTATTTAGCACATACTTAAATATTAATTTTTTTTCTATTAAACCATAGCATCCTACACTTACCCCTAATATAACTTTGTGGGTTAGACTTGGCCTATCATTCCTAGCTGTTGAGCCCCTTTTATGTTTTAAATGTATCACAGGAGGCATTTACTCCTCTTCCCAGTTTTGTGTCATCTGATAACTGGATAGGCATGCCTTCTAGATATTTATCCAACTAAAAAATGTCGAACAAGATGGAACCAAGGATGAAGTCCTGAGGTATAACAACAAGTAGCCCATTTTAGACTAATGATAATATATTCATTCTGCATATCTTTGGGAATAGCTACATGACCAGATCTCTAATACACACATCTGGGAATTAGTTCTTCGACCTGTCTATAACTGTAAAATGAGAGAACTTTTTACCTAAGAATTTGGTGTTCCACTCTATCTATCTATCTATCTATCTATCTATCTATATATATAATTTTTTTTTTTTTTACTGAAAAGTCATACTGATACTCTCTGTCAAACAATGAGAAGGATAGTCTTCCTTTTTGTTCTGAGTTGTTTCTGATGAACCCACACTAACTCTTGCTAATTATCTTTCACTTTTTGGGTAAATCCATCCCAGTTACCTACCCACATACCAGAACAACATATTGCTATAAAGAGTAGTTTGACTTCTTCAGAAACATACACACATATAAAGCTGATGTGTGTGATGATAACACTACAATGCTAAGGGGAGATCTCTGCAAAATCATCAAATGGGGTCCAAAGTTATTTTAGCTATAATTAGCTGAGTTTTCAAAGCAATTTATTTTAAGGAATTGACAAACATGTAGGTAAATCTAATCGAACTATATTGTCCACCAAAACTGTAAATACAAGTGTATCCATCTTACCTCCATTCACAGGGTCACAACTGCCCAGCTGGCCATTGTTGTTACAATTGCATGGTTGGCAGCTACCTCCAAATTTCTGGGGATTCCCAAAATATCCTGGTGCACACCTACAAGAGAAATACCCAAACAGTTCATCATTTATCCTACTCTATTGTCTCAGCCTCTTGCTCTCTAATCGGGATTGTGTAACCCTATGGGAAGAAGGCTGACATAGACTTGCAAGAACAATGCTTCTCAATACAAAGATATTTACCCTGGGGAGAGTAAGAAGCAGGTAGGAATTGTCTCTTTCCTCCTTTCTTGCTTCTAGGACTACCGAGCTCTCAAATATCCTTACAGCTGAATGACAGATGGACAAAAAGCATGCAGAGGCAAATGTTTTAATGAATACAGAAACGAAGAGTAGCTAAATTTTTATGTAGGAGTTATGTTCCTAAAAATATCACACAATCAAATATTGTTTAATTTAAGGCTAATTTCCTTATAGAAATAAATTAGAAGTAAGATCTATATCATTTCAAATGTTTGCATGAAGGAGGATTTTCTTAATATTTTTGTGGCACCATTTCAAAGTTGCAGACTCATATTTACACTAATTGCTGCAGTGCTGTGTATGCAATGAGCTTAGACAACTGAAAGCAGTTGTACTGCTACCTTTGGCTGTGAGCCTTTTTCATTCTACATCATTTTAGGACAAAAATTCTATTCCAAACTTACAAGTTTAAAGATCATGTATATTCTTTAGTTTTAGTTTATTTTTCTGTAAAAGCAAAGTAATCCCATGTTAATATTTTTGTAATTGGGGTGATGTCGATTAAAATATTCCCATAAGCAAAGTTCCATTCTTCACTCAATCACCCTCAAATTGTCATTTAATTAAATATACGGTACTTTATTATCCAATGGGGTTGACAGAATCAAGGAAATAAGGTATTGGACTCTTTTTCTAAAATGTAAGCTTTGCATTAAAGAATTATTAGACCATTTTGATATATTTTACCAATGGATACATAGGTACTATAATGCAAAGGACACAGGAGTTGGACCAGAAAGATCTAGCTAGACCCCTGCTTCTACCACCAACTAGTGTGAGTTTGGGTTGTTGTCTCAATCTTTTAAGTTTCCATTACTTCATCAGTCCTCCTGATGAAAACATAAACTCTATGAAGGCATGGGATTTGGGGGCTCTTTTGTTCATTGATATGTCCCTGGCACCCGGGATAATGCCTGGCACATATTAGGTGGCAGATATGTATTTGTTGAATGAATTAATGAATGAACAATTGAACTAGTAACCCCTATATTAGCCAATGGACATACGAGATAGTGTAGTAAAGAATCTAGCACAATGCCTGCACATAACAGACACTCAATGAAGGTAGCTATCATTCTAAGATGTGATGAAATATTAATTTTATAAATGGTATCACTTGGAATTATTACATTTCAGAAAGTGGACAGAAAGCAGAAAACCCATGTATTCCTTAATCATCAAGACAGCTGAGGTGATTTATCCAAGTCTAGGCAGGATGAAATATACTAATAATGCATTTGTGACGACCCCAACCATGCCATGCAGAAGACCTGTGTTTTGAATATTCCATTTTAAAATGTCTTACCTGTATCTAAGCTTTCCATATAAAAGATTCATAGTTAAAAGCTATTTTATATTAAAGTCACATAAATATTCAGGAAGTTTGATTCTGCTTCTACCTTACTGTTGCAAAGCATGAGTCACTCATTACAAGAAGTTATTGGTTTTCTTATTGTCATTTTATGGTAGTGGCTAAACACAAAGGACTGCAGTAAAACTCCCTGAATTCATGACAATATTAGAACATGTGTGTCATCTATGACTCCGTGTAGCAGAAGAAGAAAGGGTAATAAGAATGGTATGAACTGAGAAACATTTCCTAAGCCCTTTCCCCAGGCTGGCTGCTCCCTCTACCAATTATACTCCTGCATGTTGTAGGGGTCTTCAAAAGTTCATGAAAAATGCATATAATGAAAAAACTACACATGGAATTCATTTTTTTTTTTTTACACTAACAAGAACCTGTACTTTAATTCCAATCCTCCATGAATTTTTTTGAAGCCCCTGCATATCCTGCTTTTCAGCCTTTACCATCCTTGTGTTTATCATCAGGCAGGTAATGACTAGGGCCGGGGATAATGCCTGGGTGCTTAATTCATGTTTCATGAATGAGACGTGCTGACATCAAAATGGCACTTAACTGTGAAAAAGTTTTAAAAAATTTTTTAAGAAACAATAGCTTACTTTCTTGAGACATCAAATGTAACAAACATAAACTGAAAGAACAACTGTTAATTAAAATTTTCTCTTCAAATCAGCTGCCAGCCAAATGAATGTCTCATCAAGCTTGTTGCTGTTTTATGCTTTAGTGTTTATGCACAAGCATATGGACGATTAAATTAGGAAGCTTCTCCCAGGTGTGAGTCCCACAGCTTCTAAACTGCAGAGGCTAGAACACCTTCCCAGTGCACAGTGCAAGCCTTATCTTTCCTGTCTCCATAGGCTGTTCCTTCCTCATTCTTCAAGGCTGGTTAACTGCCCCTCCTAGGACAGCCTGACTTAGCCCAGTTACTTTCTCTCTTGGCATTTTAATGGCTTAGCTTCTGTCTGTCCACCATGGACTATAAAGCCCTTGAGGGCAGAGTTTGTGCCCTGTTTGCTAATGTGTGTTTAGCACAGTGCCAGGCATGTACTAGGATCTTCATACATTTTTTATTGAAAGGAAAAATGAATAATAAATGTGAAGCATGTGAGAAAGGTTCCTTTTACTGAAATGGAAAATGAAAAATAGAAGACCCTTATATTGCCCCCTTTTACCACAGGAGTGTCTGAACTCCTTGTGAGAGAAAGTCCCTGCCTTCACACAGCAAGCCTCCTCCAGCCCCTTGGGTTTTCTGACATTTCATCCCCAGCCTGACCTGCCTTCCGCTTCTGCCCTTCAGTTCCACTGGGTTCCAGGCATCCCTCAGACCTACTGCAGTCCTACCTAGTTCATAAATATGTCAGATAACCCCAGTCTAGAATGGCCATGATTACTATGAAATATGGTTATTTAATTATATATATATTTTTAATTTGATCAAACTCTTCTAAAGTTTATTCAGAAAAATAATACGTCAGAGTGATCAAGGAAGAAAATTTTAAATAAAGGATGCAAAGGGAGCCTTACTCAACCAAATATTCAAAGAGCCATTTTGAACTTTCAGAAATGATAATGGCACAGAAGCTAAATTAAATGCACAGAAACAAATATAAGAGCAAGGGATCTTGGAATTTTTCACAGAACAATGAATTTGGAAAAAAAAATGCATGGATTTAAAAAAATTTTGTACCAGAATAAATTTGTACGTCAATTCCATTTTTCCATGAACTTTGAAGTTTTCTCCTATAAAGAAATTGTGTACATACACATTTGGCTTTAGTGAATTCAACTAAATCCTCTTTGTAAAAGAGAGGGAAAGTCAGAGAATGAGAGAGTATGAGAGTGAGAGAAGGAAAACATATGGAACAAGAGTCTCTTATTTCATTCAGTGAGCATGTGTCCTGGAGTGAGCATTAACATGCAGGATGTGAATCTGCTGGCCCCCTACTGGCTACTTCTTTGTGCTCTCATAGTGTAAACACCCCAAACTGAATCTGGATCTGGAGCATAACCAAACACTATGTGTATTTCATACAATATGGCCCCTGGATTATTGAGAGAGAGGATGTTGGGATATTTGAGGGTATTTAAACACTCTTGACTTTTGCCTTACATATTGACTTTAATTTCTAAATTTAATTTAATTTTATTTATTAATTTTTTATTAGTTTGCTATAGGGCATGTATACTCACCAGAGAGACAGAATGAGAGAGAGAGAGAGAGAGAAAAAAAAAGAAACAGGTAGAAAGTAAGCCAACAGGTCTGGGACTTGAACCATGGCCAGCCATGTGAGAATCCAGCAGCTTAACTACTTCACCCCCTGCTGGTCTTGTTGACCTTAAATTTATCTATTATAGGCAAAAGTACCAAAAATATTAGGTTCCAAACTTGTACCAAAACAAATATTTAAACATACACTTCAAAAGTTTATGGTCAATGTAATTAAAGAGCAAGCTTATTTGAAAAATTTTTAAATTCATGCATAGTTTTCCCATAATACTCACTTTCCATAAACTTTTTGAGGGTATCTCATATGTGTAAACATTTATGTTATATCTCTAAGATTGACACCAATGGCTGAAACTTTAAGGATAGAAGAATAAGCACAACTATAGTAAAACTTAGCTATCACAAATCTAGAATTGACAAAAACGAAATAAAAAAAACACACAAACACAACAAAATAAAACAAAAAAAACAAAGGATATTTGCAACATATAGTATGAAGGGTTAATTTCCGGTAGAAGAATTTGTACAAACCAATGAACTATTTTTAAAAATTCCAATAGAAAAAAAAAAAAAAAAAAACGAGTCAAAGATCTAAAAAGTAATTCAAAGAATAAAATTTACAAATGGTCAATAATCACATGAAAAAATTCAATATGCTTACTAAATGAAGACATTTAAGTTAAGATGATTATACACAATTTCACCTGTCTAGTTGGCAAATATTTCAAAAATTGATCATTTTCAATATTCACTGAGGCAAGCAATCACTCTTTCTATTTTCCTCTAGGTAGGAATACAAACTTCATTGAAGTTCAATTTTGTAAAATGTATTAAAAGCCTGAAAAGTGTACAGATCCTTTGATCTGAGGACCTATTTCAACAATTATATCTTGGATTTATATACACAGATATTTAGGTGCAAAGATTTAATTTTAGTGTTGCCTTAAATGAAGAAGAGTAGATGTATCTTCTACACCAAAAATAAAGATTATGGAAACTCAGTGGAAACTTCTTGATCACTAATATGATGACATAAAAGAGTACTTACTGATATAGAAAGATACTACTAACATGGTATTAGAGGAGAAAACAAATCAAAACAGAAAGTAATATAAGAAACTGCTTTCATTTTTAAAAAGCCTGTAGAAAAGATCTAAAAGTATATACAGCAAGCTTCTAATAGGTAAAATGATGATAAATAGGACTTTATGTACGTGAATACATAGGGATATATAGAAATGTGGTGGGCCTTGCTAGTTCTTTATTGGCCTGTATTATTTAATTTTTATAATAAGTATATATTGATTTTATGATAAAGTTATTTTAAATTAAAAAATGTTGACTGTGGGATTCATTTCTCATACTGTTGCTTGTCCAAATATGTGTGACAACTTCTCAGCTAGATTAATAGACTTTCCATTCCACAACATGTTTTGTTTTACTTCACAAAAATTACTAAATAACTATTATGTGAACAGTACCATGCTAGAAATGAATAAGGCACACAATATCTTGAAAGTGTGTGAAATATAAAACACAATGTGAGGATAGAGGGGTGTGTGTGTGTGTGTGTGTGTGTGTGTGTAGGGCTGTGACTATGTGTAGGGTAGAGGTTTACAGAGAAGCGTAAACCTGCCTGAGGACAGGAGTGTGTAGGAATGGATTTAGATGAGGGTAAGGGAATGTAGGAACATTTGTGAAGGTGGGTATATAAGAATGTATGGGAGAAGGGCATGTAGAGATCTGTATGGGGAAGAGGTACGTAAAGATCCTTGGGAAGCCTCAGAAAGGATCCCAGAGCTTGCTCATCCACCTTGGTATTTCTGTGAGTACAAGCATTGGTGATCTTCACATTTTCGATGTATGGGAGGGGAATGCAGAAATATTTGTAGGAGGGGTAGGGATATTTAAGAATATGTAGGGGAGGGATATGGAGAGATAAGGGAGACTGATGCGAGGTGAGTTTCTGTGTGCGAAAGTGTGTAGGAACAGCTGTGGGAAGTGGGTATGTAGGGATGTGTGTAAGTTTGGCTACATAGGGGTGTGTATTAGGGGTCTACAGGGCTCTGCGTGGGTGTGTATATGTGTTGTGCCTCATTCTCAGATTTCTGAAACATACACAAAGTTAGAAAGAGAAGGACATCGACGATATATTAATTGAGCAGTCTTGCATTTTTCCCTTTTTCCAGTCCTCAGTGACGGCCTCACCCCTAGCTGAGAGCCGCCACTCAGCAGAGCCCCACCCACAGCTGGGTCCCTGCAACAGCTGCAGTAGGGCCCTCCCCAACCCCACCTGTGAGATATGGGGGGCAGAGGAGGAGAGAACTCACCTTTCACATTGTGTTCCTGTGTATCCCGGCTTACAGGAGCACCTCACGTTCCCCCCATTCACAACACAGCCAGTGGCAAAGCTTAAAGGAAAGCAGAAAAGAGCCCCAGTAAAAACATAAATCAATAGGCTTTAGGCTTATTATTTTTTACCACAAAGAACTGACTGGCATTTAGTGAAAAATTAAAATCCAGAACCTGGTTACTTTTTGTTTGAAGAAACTTTCACCCATCAAGGTTTGTCAAGAAAATGAGGAATTCTTTCAGCTGACATTGGGCAAATTGTGGTGAATAAGAGTTGAAGGCATTTATTTTATTTTGGCTTAGAGAAATGCATTCCTTCCCTTCAGACAGAGTAGCTCACTTTGGAAGAGATGATTACAACAGCATTTTCCAGGAATAACAAGGAAGGAATAAAACAAGTCTAGGCAGAAAAAAGAACAGAGAGTTCTGATTCTTTAAAATATTTTCTCCTTGTTTATTCTAATCTGTCCTATTTTCCTCTTTCTGGGAATAAGAGCTGGTGGGGAGTCAGGCATTCAAACCTTCAGAGTTTGCTTATTCACCTTGGTATTTCCGTGGGCACAAGCATTGGTGATTCGTCACGTTTTCAAACCAAACTGTAGAATCTTGATCCCTTGTCTTTTAGCTCTAAACTGACGTATATATTTGAGAAGTGTTTATTTTTTCCTTTTTAAACAAAGATCATAAAAAAGCCCAGTTGCCTTGTGAAGTGTCTATGCCTGCCCACTGAATATTACACAGATGGAAATCTGTGAGGAAGTCATTCTATTTATCATTTGTTTGTAAGAGAATTCTGATTTGGGAAGCATTTCTCCGGCTATTAGATGGATACAGTTATGCCTCTAAAGGGACAGTTAGAAATTCATTAGCAGTTTTAATACTGCTGGAAAAAGAATGACATAATAGGACTTTATTGGGCCAGTCTATGACATGTGGTTAAGGTGGCTGAATCCCAGATGGCCAATTGCACAGTTCAAGTCCTGGACCCTGTAGCTTGAAAAACAGACCTGGCAGGTGCACATAAGTGCCCAAATCACAAAATGAGGGAGAAATGAAGGAGAAAGAATTGTGTCATGACCATGTTCCATGGGTGGTACTTTCTCACTTTTCCCCCCCTCTGTCTTTAGAAGCTGGAAACTGACCTTAAAGGTAATGGTAAGAATATGTTTTGCAACCAGAAACGAAATACTTTTCTCAGATACCCAGTGGAAACCATGCTGTTTTCTACTCTGTCCAGCTTGTGTTCAAACAAGTCTAGGCAAGCGTCAAGTGATAGATCTCTACAAATAAAGCTGCAGGACCGGGCAGGCCTAACGGGTATCAAATACATAGATTGCAAAGCAGGATGAACATTTCAAATATGTATCTCCAGAAAAGCCACATGTAGGTTCTTGACTTTCTGTGATGTTAAAACATTGCCTGATAATCGACTGATACCAAGTTACCTTTGTAGTCCACGCTTGTTTCTGAGCCTGTGTAATACTGATGCTTTATCAATATCTTGATTTTCAAAATGAATCTGACTTCACTTAGTTAGTTGTTATGTTTTTCTTTTTTAAAAAAGGATTATTTTATTCAACTTTATTTATTTGTTTTAATTTGACCAGAGAGGGACAAAGAGAAAGCGTGAGAAAACAAGTCACCAGGTCTGGGACTTGAACTGCAGTCAACCATGTGGGAGTCCAATGCCCTTAACCACCACACCATCTGCCAGTCCTAAGTTATGTTTTTCTTAAACCCCACAGTGAATGTCATGATGAATAAAAACAGGTCAAAGCACCAAGCCCAGAAAGGTTGGATTACCATGAAAACAACATGGTATTTCTCTACCTACATAGACTATTGGACACACTGAATGTCAACTCAGATCATGCAGCTCAGTGGCTCAGATCTGTCCCAGGTTCCCATCACATGAGGATAAATTCAGGTACTAGATTATAACCTGCAATGCTCTAGGCCAAACGAGTCCTGACTACCCAGCAAGCTCATCTCTTGTCCCCCATCTGCACTCCCTAAAGCTGCCCCTGCCTTCTCAGTGTCCGTGAGCACAACTTTACTGGGTCTTTCCCATCTGTTTTATCCTAGCCCGGGACCCTCATCACTAAGATAGTGCTATAGCTCACTCCACCCCATCATTCAGATCCCTGCACAACAGCTCCAGACCTCCTTAATCACCTCTAATGTAGCCCCTCACTCATTAACAATGCATAACCCTATTTCAGAAGAGTTCACCTCTTTCTGAAATGATGCTTATTTATTCATGTTTGGATTTATTGTAATGTCCCCCTCCCTGTGAATCCAGGTAAAGGCCCATGAGATGAGTGACTCCTCTATCATCTTTACATTACTTTCCCAGGGTCTGGCCCCATAATTAATGTTCGAGAAAAAAATAGTTTACCAACTGAATAAACAGTAAAAGAAAAGAAGGAAACTCTCAGAAGAATACAACTTACAAAGACTGCTTCTATTTGTTTGTTTGTGTTTTTTCCTTGCACGTTGTGTTTGTTCATCTTTTTTCAAAGTTTCTTTCTTCCTTTCTTTCTTTCTTTCTTTTTTTTTTTTTTTTTTTGAGAGGTTTTTGCTATGGGCATGTGTGCTCGCCAGAAAGACACAGAGAGACAGAAAGTAAGAAATCATCCTCCAGGGGGGATGGCCATGCCGCAATCCCTTCTCCTCCATTCGCCTCTCAGGATCTTGGGCACACACGCACACGTGCCCAGCGTGAGTTTAAGCCACTGGGTCTGGGACTCAAACTGCGGTCAACTACATGGGAGTCCAGTGACATAGCCATTATGCCAACTGCTGATACCAAACTTTATTTATTTCTTCTATGAGAGAGAAATATATGTAGAGAAAGAGAAACAGAGACAATTTCCCAATAGGGTCTTCGAACTATGATCCATCCCATCTCAGCCAACCCAGACCTGAGGGTGGATCATAGGACCTCAAGGCTTGGGACCTTTCCCATGTGTCTCTAGTTGTATTACCACTGCTCCACCACCTAACCCCTCATTAAAAAAATATATAACAGTTTGGGGTCAGCAGGTGATGTAATGGTAAAGGCACTGGACTCCCTCATGGTCACTGTGGTTTGAGTCCCAGACTCAGTGCCTTAAAACTCATGCCAGACACGTGTGTATGCATGCGTGCCCAAAATCCCAAGAGGAGAATGGATCAGAAGGGAATGCTGTGTGGCCAACCCCCCCCAGGGGGCAATTTCTCACTTTCTCTCTCTCTAGCAAGTGCATGCTCCCTATAGCAAAAATCTCTCTTAAAAAATTAAAATAATAGCTTTATTAAGAGTCACATACCATCCCTACATTAGTCCATGTGCAGTATACATTTAATGGCTTAGAATGTTCCCAGAATTGGGCAACCATCAACACAATTAATTTTAGAACATTTTCATCACTCCAAAAAGAAATCCTATACCCTTTAATAGTCACTTTCTATTTCTTTCCACCTTCCCCCATCCCCATATCCAGTCCTAGGCAACACCAGACTACTCCCTGTCCCTGTAGGTTATTGCCAAGCTTTTACAGTACCTGTTGGAATGAGGACACGGGCAGATCCTACAGGACCCATGGACAGCGTTCCCGTAGTACCCCTCCTTGCAGCGTTCACAGTGTTCTCCGGCAGTGTTATGAGCACAGTTCTTGGGAGAGATGACAGGATGATTAATAGTAGCCCATTACACCGATGACTTCTGAGAAAATTATAGACTTGGTTATTCACACAGCTGCAAGTCCTTTGACCACATTCATACTGGTTCTGCTAATCCTATATTGTCCTGTCTATCTAATCATTGTTGGTGGTGGAAAAAGGTATAAGTGGCCTTCTGTAAGTTATTCTAAGGCATGATGTAGTGTAGAGAGATTGGCTGCATTCAAATTCCTCTCTAAGATCCACATCTGTGAAGTCTAGGGCAAATTCATTCACTTCTCTGAGTTTTATTGTTTCTTTTTTTTTCTTTTTTTGGAGAGGTTTTTGCTATAGGGCATGTGCACTCACCAGAAATACAGAGAGCGACAGAGAGACAGAAAGTGAGAAATCACCCCCCGAGGGGATGGCCACACCACAACCCCTTCTCCTCCATTCTTCTCTCTGGATCTTGGGCACACACACACATGCACCTGGCATGAGTTTAAGCCACTGGGTCTGGGACTCAAACCGCAGTCGACTACATGGGAATCCAGCAGCATAGCTATTATGCTAACTCCTGGTCCCCCTTTATTGTTTATTATTAATCAGTTTTATTGATGTGTGACTAACATACAATTGTAGTTTTCTTAAAGTATTATACAAAGTTAGAATAATACCCTCTTTAAAGTAACTGTACTAGGCTCCTAGGAAATGTAGGTTTTCTTTCCTCTTCTCTTTAGAATTGCTTCTATGAAAATTAACTTCATTTTACTATTAATTCACTTAACAATGATAAACTGAAGTAATAAAAGTGGATTTAGGAAACAATCAAAAGATACATAATATTTGAAGAAAGCATTCAATTTATATCACCAAAAAAGTAAGAAATTAATTTTATCTAAGCTTTTTATATATGTAACTCAATCATTTTTGTATCAAGGTCAATGTGTAACAAAAGTTGTACTTCAGCAAGTATTGAGATGAAACAGCTTTGCAACTATGACAAAGCCTAGCAGATTGGGTCGAATTTGTTTATTTTGTGGGATTTTTAGCCCAGTGTAAACTTTCTTGATTATACTTAATATTAAAAATCTAAATGCACAAAAACATTCAGGAAAACTCCTTTTGCTGTGGGCATTTAATAATCAGAGATACTTTTTGTTAATTATATAACCTAAAATAAGTATAATTTGTAAAAGTTGCTTATATATTTTACATCTTATGCAGAAGTAGTATGTGAGGAGGAAATTTTAATGGGTGTGAGTTTTTAAAAACATCTGAAGTTAGGTTGGGGGAAAACAAAACAAAACAAAACAAAACAAAATATATGTATGTACATATATCACAAGGAGAGAAGTCTTGCTCACTAAGGAAAAAACTATCCTTCAATTATAAATATCAAGGGTTTGTCCAAATCCATTTTTGACAAACTATTGAGTAGCTCAGAATTATACCAACCACAAAAATGTTAAAACATTGCTTTTTTAAATGTTTCTACATATAAATTTAATGTATAAACACAAGAGGTACATATTTCAGGAAATGAGAAGGGTCTTCAAAGTTGTTCAGATTTGGTCATCACCAGAAAGCTCATCCTCATCCAGAATCCTCTCTTCCTCCCCAGAACTCACTGCAGTGCAGTGTTTTCCTCTCAGTTTGGAGCCTAGGAACAAGTCCACCCTCAGTTTATCAGCTCAGCAGAAGAGTTCTCTTGGGCTATCCATGGAAGACCCTAGCGGTTCCTTAACCTTCACTTGGCTCAGCAGGCTCTTTCATAAAAACGTCCATTCTTTGGAATAAATTTGTTATCTTTCCACTTTTATTTTCTTTCTTTTTAAATGGTTATTTTAAAGAACATTCCTGAGTAGCCAGATTTCAACCCTATGTCTGCTTAGCTGTGAGGCTGAAAACACTGGAGAGGACATCCGAGTCCGACCACAAACACTGGGTGCTGGTCCTTCACAGAAGTGAGGGAAAAGGATTGTGGAAGGCAGACAGAACCTATGCTGCTTGGAAAAGTCCCATAGAGTGTCTTAAACACCCATGGATCTCAGTTAAGAGCAGCTATCCTGAAGCTGTCTTTATTAATACTGACAACTTAAGGCATGTGCCTACCAACTTTCCTGTGTTTTCTTGTGAGTGAGCGAATGAATGAATGAATGAATGAATTCAGCAATAGCTCTATCCACTCCTGTGGCATGTGCTTTCCTAGCTCCTTTTGACATCTGATGTCTTTTGGGCATTTACTAAGTGGTTAATCATGCTAGGCACTAGGGATGCAAAGACAGGTTGCTACCTTGACTCAGAGTAGACCCTGAATAGACATATTCAATATAATGTGAATGTATGATGGCAAAGGTGTGCCACAAACCCAGGAAAGCATGAGGGAGGGAGGGCAGGTGGCCCTTGTGGAGCCTCAGGGAAGGCCCACTGAAGGTGCTGCTGCCTGCAGAGGAGACAGAAGAAGTATTAGCTGGGTGAAAAACTGAGGGAAGGACACTCCAGGCACAGGGAACAGAGTGTGCTGAACCTCAGTATCAGGATGGCACACAGCATGTGGATGGAACGAGAAACAGTGGGTGAGCCAGAGGCTGATGTGTAGCTGGAGAGGGCTGTGGGTGTGAGCCCACGGGGAGCACTGCATCGACTGTGCATTTCAGACAAATCCTTCTGGGGCAGTGGTAGAAATCAGCTCAAGTGGTAGGGAATGTCAAAAAGGAAGCTGGAAAAAGAAAGGAAGAGAAAGGGGAAGGGACATGGGAATAGAGAGGCACAGCAAGGAGACTGGGAGAGGGGGAGAAAGCAAAGCAAGGAGAAGAGAGAGAGGTACAGGGCTTCAGCTGAGAAGCCCATCATCACAGGTCTCTCCAGCCAGTGGTACCTGCAAATGCATCCCTGCCCTCGAAACTGGACACATGCTGTTTTTCTAACAAGGAACTGGGCTATCTTTTTTCTCCCCCATCATTGAAGTTTATTCTTGGAATGACACGGAAATTCGCACATGTGTGAGGTGCTCCAATTTCAGAAATGAACATTGGGCCTTAAGAGATAGAGGTCATTTTGTAGAGGAATCATCCTGAAAGCCCACTCGATATTCAGAGGTACTTGACTTCCTGATCAGTGTGTTGAGAATGACAGCTGCATCCTTGTCTTCCATACAATGGACACATTTAAGAGCAGCATCAGCACTCAGTGTTTGCCATTGCTAGTTGAGTGAGTGCAAGCACAGGCTCTGTATGTTTGTATGTGTGTTTGAGCGTGTGTGCATGTGTGTGTGTGTGCACTAGACTATTAGCCTCTCGAGAGCAGGGATTATGTCTGATGATGTTAACCGTCACTTAGTTCAGCACTTGCCACAACAGCAAATGCTCAGCAAGGATTTCCTGAATGAATAGTCTCTAGTGGACATGTGGCCTTTAGGGAAAACTAAAGACAACCACAAAGAAAAGAAATAAGAAATAAAATGATGTTGTTTGAATAAAATATAAATTATGACTCCCATAAGTTCTTCTTTCACTAGGTAAATGGACTCCAGAGAAAACTCCACTTTGTTCTTTGGCAGTTTTTATAAAGTGGACTTGACATCTAACAATGGTTTAGTGACAAGATAGGTATTTATTTTTTAAAGCATTCAGCTGTCTTACACACAACATACAGTATCAAACATAAACGATTATATAGGAATACAGTATTTCCCAATGGCGTCTTTTTTTTTTTTTTTGAACTTATAAGGTTACAATTCAACAAAATATTCTATCAGGCGGCTCTTTACAACAGCCTCTTGTTCTGGCCTGTCCTGTCTTGCAGGAGAAGCCGTCCCCTGGGACATGCTGAGTTGTTAACACAGTCTAGGAACCGAAACAGTTGAAACACTCTTGTTGTGTTGCACAATGCAAAGGAAATCTGCCCCGGAAGAGGGTATTTCCAAAAGAGCACCCCCAGCCAGGGGTCTGCATGCCTGGGAGCACTGAGTGCTCTCCTTCTCTTTATTTCCTCCTAAGTAGGGAGGCCCTGCCTACCAGAGAGAACTTTGATGAAAGAAGGAAACAGAATAAAACAGCCTCCACTTCAGGATGCAAAAGAAAAAAAAAAAATTCTCGGATTCTAATTTGTGTGGGAGAATTTTCTAAAGCATTCCCAGATGAGATCATTTTCCAGTGGATAAGCTGTAGATGTTATGGACTGCTTTGAGGCCTTGAGGAAAAAAACGTCAATCCAGATCGTGTGTAGCAGATGATGCTGTGAGGACAGAATGGTGAGGTGGGGCTTGCTTTCCCATGATGCCCTTCCCTGCCTGCCTTCACCCTGACCCCGCTCTGCCTTGGCAGCAGTGGGAGTTGGTGCTTGATGGACTGAGGATGAACTGTTCTCAGTCTCTTCTTTCCTGGCTGCTCTCTTCAGTTACTGTTCTTCTGACAGCCACAACCCCTATGACCTTCCTGCCACCCCAACAAAACTGGAACCCAAAGTAATGACTCTGATTCATGATATACTTGCAAGAGTTCAGTCCCAAGAATTATCTATTAATATCATTTAGTGAAGCAGAGATTTAGAGGCTAAGGTGTAATCTAATTATTCAGACAGGTGTTCTCTTCTAATAGTGCATGCTAAAATGGAAAAAAAAAGAAAGAAAGAAAGAAAGAAAAGAAGTGTAAAATAATTCACTTAATTACACTGGAGCTTCCTATATTGACAGAGTAGCCCCTTTTTAGGGTTTGATAGGAGAGGTGACTTTGATATCTCTAGGCACAGGGGAGTGAGGGAGAGAGGGATGGCCTGCCAGCAGCATTAGGGTATCAGTTTACTCACAATACATATGCCTGAGCCATCCTGGCATCGATTCGAATGTCCGTTGCAATTGCAGGGAATACACCGTCCGATATTCAAGCCTGTGTTATCTCGATAGGATCCAGGGCTACAACCCTATTTTTCAAACAAAGTGTTTAATCAATACAAAGAAAGGAAATGATGAACTATCCAAAGCATGTGACAATTCTGACTGTGAAGCATTCACTTTTGTACCTTCTTGCCTTCAGTAAGTGTATGGGGTTTCTAACTTGAACCATCAATCAGGTCCACTTGCTTTACTGTGAGGTTCTGTTTTGTTTCCTTGCCCTGGTGGGCCTGTGAGACTATGGTGGTGAAATCAGTGAGAAGGCAAGTGTGGGGGTGGAGGATAAGATGAGGCTTCTCTTTCAAATCGTTTTGAGGGAGTGAGGGGTGGAGGGCTGGATGTGAAAAGCGGATCAGAACCCCAGTTCTCAGCGGGAGGCATCTAAGCAAATAGCTTCAAGTTAGATTCCATTCCTCTTCTAGTGTGGGTTTAAGCTAGTGGGGAGGGCACTATGGGGGTGGATAAGAGTGTTAATGGGGGTCTACACAGTGGTGACACACTCAGAATCACTGCACAATCACTCAATAGTCTGTGGACAACAAGGGATCCAGGAGAAGGTCATCAGGTCTCTGTGTGAATGTCTGGTCCACAGTGAACATACAGAGACCAGCCCAGAGAGTCTCCTTGGGTTTGGTCTTGCTTTCTTCTTTAATATTGCTTTGGTTATATTTATCCCTAGTTTATTTCCAGTATATATGGATTATTATTGTTCTTCAGGATGAAAAGAATTATAGTTTTGTTTTCACAAACTGGTATTTTAAAAAAAAAGGGTTCTTGTTAAGAATACCTCCAACAAAAAAACAAGTGGTGATTCCTATATCAGTCATTTAAAATTATTTAACTTTCTATCTTTCAAGAGAATTATAGACATGTTCTTTATTTTGACAGAGCTAATTATTAGTGTACAGATTAAAAGTAGACATTATCTCTTATGTCATTCATTGGTCTTCTACGTGCCCTATCTTTAAGGCATCAGGAAAAAGTAATATGTCAAGATAAAAGATGATCTTTTATCCAATCCTCTTTAAACAGCACATAAGTCTGTAAGACTCAAACTCCCATCAAAGGAAGTCTAGAAATGAACAGTGCATTCTCATTCATCCATGTCTATAAAGGTCTCTACCTAGTCAAGTGGGAGAGAGGAAAAAGCCAGCTGTACGGGGTGAAAGTGGGGGGACGCAGATGCCTCACACGCTCTCTGGAGTGGAACCACCTCGCTTCTGCCAGGAGCCCCTTCCAAAGTTACCAGTAAATACAGATTACACAGAATAACAGCAAGACCATACTTTCCAATATAGTATCATTTCCTTTAAACTATTAGAAACCATGTTTCAGCAAAAGGACACTTCGCAAAAAGTTAGATTACTTTATGTGTTCTATGAATAGGCTTGTCTGAAGAAGCATCAAAGTATGAAAGGAATGTTCTTTTGCTGAGAGCACCACCGAGAGATACATCGGAAAGAAATTCAGCCAATGATGATGCGATTATATCTACAAACAAATGCTCTCCACTAATATGTGGCAAGTACTTTATGTAATAATTACCACTGCATATCACATGAGCTGCTTATAAAATCAGCATGTTTGGTAAAGAACAAATTATTCAAATAACCAAACAGATCTGGTTAGTTTCTGACAACATATCAATATTTTAATTAAACATGCTTTGGGAAAGGATAACCTATCCTGATTAAAATTAAATCACTCATCTGAATTTGCTTTTAATTGGAAGCAGAAAACAATACCCTGTAAGCTTTATACATCATGAGAATCTCAGGTTTGTCAGTTACTGATATTTTCATTTTCTCACCTCTAAAAAACAAGCACCACCTTTTACAAAAACTTGTTTAAATATTCGGATTGTATTGAAGACTTATTCTTTAAATAAAAATGAAGGCACCATAATATATTATTTCAGTAAAGGGGCTTCGTAATCACTTAAGAATTTTTTTTTAAATTGTCGATTTCACAGGTGCTTTCCCAGTAAAATTTTACAGTACAAATGATAAAATTATGTCTCTACCCGGGTTCCAGAACTGTTTCAGCAGCCATGGTATCTATTTCTCGGTAAGTAGACATGTAACAACCAGGACGTTTAAAGAAAGAGCAGAATTTACAAGTTTCATGCCTGGGAAGTTGAAGCCTTCTATTAGGTACTATACAAACTTTGATCATTTTTCTTAAGCATGGCTTTCACTGTTTCTCATGTTTTACTTTCTGGGTAAATTTTATTACATGTAGAATTTTGAAACCTAGAGGCATTGGACACTTTTGTCCTAAAACTCAAGTTACTATCTAAAGAGCACAAAGTTTTATATTAACATCCCACAAGCATTCAAGCTCTTAACTGTCTCGGCATCTCCAGGTGGGCTGTGTTTATGGGGTTTGTGGTTAACAGATCAGGAGAGCAATCTGTCAGGTATAGTAATAAACACTGCCAATCAACTCTTTGGGAAAGCCATCGGCCCCTCCCCAGCCCACCCGTTTACTCCTTAATCACCCTAAATTAAAATGTCACAAAGCTGAGAATCTCCCCAATCATCTGAAACCAAAATTGAAAAAAAAGACATTACCTGGTTGGGTCTAAACTCCACATAATTTGCTTGCAGATGACTTTGACCCAAAGGCTGAAGAAATGCTACACTTTGCTGCTGTGAATTGTAGCCCAGACACTGCCCCAGGGCTGCCCCAAAGAGCCACAGCCACCCCAAGTTCCGGGCTGGCTGCCTCACTGCGGGGGGCATCCTGGTCTCTGGGTGTCCTGCCGGGTGTGCACCAACCTCTGCCTCTTCTTCTTATACCGGCCCTTCCTGCTTGCTGCCCAGGCCTGCCTGACTCAGGTAAGCAAGGCTGTCTGCCGCAGGGGCCCCACCTTTAAACTTCACACATGAGTCAGCCTGTGCTGGAGTGCACCTAACAGTCCTGCAGGTAAGCGCGCCGCTCTGTAATTCCTCTGAGGTGGGGCAGGCATCACCTTCTACCCACCTCACCCCGCAGACAGCACTAGACGATTAGAGCAGCCATAAATCACAGCCTGAGTCACCCACAAAGAACACGCCCTGGGCAGGAGGGCGCTAATCCAGAGGTTCCACTCTTCTCCTGAGGCTATCCATTTTAATCAGGCTAGAGAAGAGATACAGGGAAGGGAGAAGAACATAGTTACCCCTGAGCTAAATGGTGCAAGACAGGAATCCCCAGTAAACCGCTACAGGTAAGATATTTGTGGACGCTTGTATGCGCAGCTCATCTTGGAGTTTCCTGTTCTCCAGAACAAGAGAGAAGGGTTTTGCTAATTCCACATACATTGGATGTATATAATATGCAGAATAACAATGTTAGCTACTTCCTGCTCATTGCACTAACAGTATTCTCTCTCTCTCTCTTTAGGAAAAAAGAACATAGGAGTGAACTTTAGGAGGTTTGTGGGAAAATGGAATTAAAATTCGAGTTTACCTTGGTGCAAACATTTTTTTCAATTCATGGAATTTTTTTATAATACACAATTTCTGTGAACTTTTTTGACGACACCTTAGATTTATAGCTTGAGCCAGCACATAGTTTCATTTTCTGGCACATTTTAATCACCAGAGAGCAGCTCAGGTCCACCAGACCTCAAACAAGAGGACCTGTGGGAGCTAGAAAGTGGGAACATGATTTCCCCTTGCGGAATTCAGGATATTCTCTGGAATTCAACACTACTGGCCGGTTAGGAGGTGATGGATCAGAGAAAAGCACAGCATACTGGATCAGCTATTGGGAAAACAGTGGCTCACACAGTGCAGACTGGCAGGCATCTTCCTATATTTGACTTTTACAATCCCAGCATCTATTGAGCTCCTGTGACTTTCCTGTGATTTTTTGAGACACTGGTGATATCTTTTTCACATTTAATTCCTGAAGGTAGTCTAGGTAAGATATAAGCCACTACCCAGCAAAACCTCATACCATGAGCGGAGTGTCCCACACCAGCCCACAGTACTAGACAGCAGCCAGAAGAGCCAGACACTGAAGTTCCCCTGGGGGAATGTCATGGCGAGGACAACTTCCTACCTGACATGAGTCACCAGAGTAGTCAGGGGGGCAGGCACACATCTCCACATGGTGTGCTATGCGTCCGCTTCCGGTGTCGGAGGCCTCCTCCAGCCCCACCTCGCCCAGGGTGAGCCGCTGAGTCTCAGTGAAGTGCAGGCCTCTGATGCGCACACCTTCCAGTCTAGACAGCACCATCATCAGCTCTTCCCTGGACACAGGGCCCCTAGTGCCGGCGTGTCTGAAGTTTCCCTGTGCATGAAAACAGAACAGCAAAAGCCTCCTGGAGCAAGCTCACTTTCAGGGATTTCAAAGTAGATACTCAGAATGAATCAAAGAGAAGCCATTTAAAATGCATAAGGAAAAAGAAAAGAAAGGAAGCTGGAAAGTACCTCCTGGTGTATTTACACTCAGAAGTCAGATGTTCCAGGTTATTCCCAGAAGGCAGTGTGCCAGGAGAAGGGGGAACAAATGAAGGCAGGAAATACAGGCCAATAAAATGAAATAAAATTTCCCAGTGCTATACTTCTTTTAAAATAGACTCGTATGGGCAAATATTAGGTGAATAAGACAGATATAGGAAAAGAAGGCATGTGGAAACCAATTGATCATGAAGCATTCATGAAATGTACTTAATTGTGCAGAAAGGGCAATCTTTTCTTGCATATATACTCACTTTACTTTTTTATTGTGGTAAAAAACACATAACGTGGGACCAGCAGTTAGCATAATGGCTATGCCGTGTGTGCGTGCGTGCCCAAGATCCCGAGAGGAGAAAGGCGCTGTGGCCATCTCCCCGGGGGGAGGGGGGAGTGATTTCTCGCTTTCTGTCTCTCTATCTCTCTCTGTCTTTCTGGCAAGCTCACACCTTGCAGCAAAAAACCTCTCCAAAAAAAAAAAAAAGCACATAACATGAAATTTACCATTCTACCAATTTTTTAATGTGTGTCTGTGAGTGAGAAAGAGAGCAAGAAAGAGATTTTTGATAGGGTCCTGCTACAATGCCATCTTCATGTCTTCGTCTCCCAGTTAGCTAGGACCATATCCAGCCCATTTCAGGCTGGGCTGGGAACTGAACTGGAGCCCATGCAGCCTCAGCCACCACCCAGGGCCTTCCCACTCATGTCACTGCAGCTAGGCCATATGTTAACCTTTTTTCTTTCTTTCTTTATGATATAGCATGTGCATACACGTGAGAGAGTCAGGAGGAGAACCCTCCACAGGGTTTGGTCATGCTACTATCCTCTTCCTCCAGTCCTCCAGCTCCTTGGATTTTGAACATTTATGAGCACACCTAGTGTGTTTCAGGGTGGATTCTAACAGTAGTCACCATGTGGCTTCCAGCTGTGCAGTTCGATATACACCACCTGTGCCACCATGGCTGGACCCATTTTTAACATACAGTACAGTATTGTTTACTTTGAACACAGTGTTGCACGACAGTCATCTAGACTTACTCATCTGCAAAACAGGAACTCTGTACCATTTAAAATCCCCTTTTCTCCCTCCCTTAAGCCCCTGGCAACTACCATTCTGCTTTCTGTTACTAAGAATTTGACTACAATAGTTAACTTAATAAGTGAAATCATACAGTCTTTGTCTTTTAGTAACTGGCTTATTTCATTTAGCATAATACTGTCAAGGTTCATCCATGTTATAGCATATGACAAGATTTCCTTCTTTTTGAAGGAGAAATAATGTTCCATTGCATGTATATACCACCTTTTCTTTATTCATCTTTTGATGGACAGTTAAGTTACTTCCACCTCTTGGTGATTGTAAATAATGTTGCAGTGAACATGAGCACACAAATATCTCTTTAAGATCCTGTTTTCAGGACCAGCAGATGATGTAATGGTTACATTGCTGGACTCCTGCATAGTCAGTCACAGTTCGAGTCCAAGACCTGGCGGCTTGAAACTCACACCAGGCGCACATGTGTGTGTGCCCAAAATCCTGAGAGAATGGAGAAGAAATTGTGGTATGGCCATTCCCCCGAGGAGTGATTTCTCACTTTCTGTCTCTGTCTCTCTGGCAAGCATGTGCACCCTTTAGCAAAAATCTCTCTTAAAAAAAAAAAAAAAAGTCCTGTTTTCAGTTCTGGTAGGTATATACTTAGAGGTGGGATTGCTGAGTCATAATAGCAATTCTATTTTTAACTTTTGAGGAAACTCCATACTGTTTTCTGAGGCAGGTACACAATTTTACATTCCCACCAACACCCTCCTTTGCCAACACCCTCTTTCTTTATGCATGTGTGTTTGTGTGTTTATATATATAATGATTAGTGATGGTGAGCATCATTTTATGTAAAAATCATGCCTTTTTAACCTTTCTATTCTATTCTTTGAACTCAGTTTCCACATCTCTTAAATGGGTATAGTAATACCTACTTTCTCAGAGCTATCCTGAAGAGAAACCAAACAATACAATGTATATAAACTGTTCAGCATGGTGCCTAGTATATATTATATATTTGATAAATAGTAGCTATTATTATTAACATACAAATATAGTGCTTATATAGTTTTAATTTATATTTTGAACAGTGTGAAGTATAATTCATATATAATAATAATCCTTCATTTTAAGTATAATTTTTAGTACAGTTACAGAATTACGCAACTGTCACTACAATATAATTTGAAAACATCACCGTCTCACCAGAAAGAACTCTTGTGCCAATTTGTAGTCATCACCAATCCCATCCCCAGTCCCAGGCAACCGCCAATCTACATTCTGTCTCTATGAATTTGTCCACACTGAACAATTTATATAAATACCAACTTAACCTCAGTGTGCACAAAAGCTTCACTCCTGCTAGCTTTTTCCCTCCTCTGTACCTTTATGCTATTATTGTCATAAAAATGACATCTTCACGAATTATATGCCCACTTTTCATAGATTTATAGCTATTGCTTTAACATATTGTCATTTAAATAAGATAGAGTTAAGAGTTACAAACAAATATATACTGCCTTGTATATTTCCTATGTATTTACCTTGACATGTACTCCATTTCTTCATATGAATTTGAGTTATTGTCTAGTGTCCATTTATTTATGTCTGAAAGATTCTCTTTAGTATTTTTTTACAAGGAGGGTTGACACCTTTGTGTGTGTGTGTATATGCATATATATATATAGTGTGTGTATGTGTGTATATGCATATATATATATATATATAATATATATATATATATATATATAGTGTGTGTGTGTGTATGTCTTTGTTTTTCCATTTAAAAAAACTTTATTTATTGCTTCCATGACAGAGAGACAGAGACAGAGAGATAAAGAGAGAAAGAGACAGGTGCCCTAATGGAGTCTTCATGCCACAATCTAGCCCCACTTTCAGCCATCCCAGATCAAAGGCACATTCATATCCAGGGTGGATAGGGAGGTACTGAGATGTGAACCCAGGACCTTTCTCATATGAGTCCAATTGTGTTACTACTGTGCCCTGTTTTTCGATTTTTGGAGAATATTTTGCTGAATACATAATTCTTTTTGGACAATGTGTTTCTTTCATCACTTCATATATGCTTTTCACCATCTTCTGACTCCCATGGATTCTAATTGTTAATGTTATTGAGGACTGCTTGTATGTTATGAAGCACTGCCTTCAAGATGCTCTTTGTCCTTATCTTCTAAATAAATCACTACTATCATTTATCTGTGTGTGGATCTCTTGTAGTTGTCCTATTTGGAGTGTATAGAACTTCTTAAATGTATGGATCAATGGTTTTCATTAAATTCAGGAAGTTTTCAGATTGACTTCCTCAAATATTTTTTCTTTCCCTTTTTCTCTCTCCCTTCCTTCTGGTCTCCCCATTATGTACATGTTGGTTTACTTAAATTTGCCTCACGTGTCTCTTTGACAGTCTGCTTACTTTTTTTTTTTTTTTGAGAGTTTTTTGTTTTTGTTTTTGTTTTTTGCTATAGGGCGCGTGCGCTCTCCAGACAGACAGAGAGAGACAGAGAGACAGAAAGCGAGAAATCACCCCCCGGGGGGATGGCCACGCTGCAATCACTTCTCCTCCATTCTCCTCTTGGGATCTTGGGCACGCACGCACACGCGCCCGGCTGCTGGTCCCTTCACAGTCTGTTTACTTTTCATTCTTCTTTTTCTTTTTTTTTTTTGCTTTTGTTACCTCTACTGAATATTCTCAATTGACCTTCTTCAAGATTACTGGTTCTTTTTCTGCCTGCTCGAATTTGTTTTTATGTTCCGTCTTAGTTAGCTTGGACTGCCATAATGACATACCACATACTGGCTTAAACACTAGAAATTTATTTTCTCACAGTTCTGGAGGTTGGGAGGCCCAGATTGGGGTGCCAGCTGATTCAGTGCTTGGTGAGGCTCTCTTCCTAGCTTGAACATGGTTACCTTCTCATTGCTCTCACACAATGGAAAGAGAGAGGAGCTCTCTATGTCTCTTCTTATAAGGACACTAATCCTATCAGAGTTCTACTCTTAATTTGGCCTTAATTACTTCCTTACTCTAAACAGTCACAATGATAGTTAGAGCTACAACATATAAATGAGGAGACTGGAGGAAAGGGACACAGCTCAGTACACAGCAGCCTTTCCTGTAACCTTTAAATTTCAATTAGTGTACTTCTCAACTCTAGAATTTTATTATTTTGCATAATTTCTATTTTTTTATTGATTTTCTCTACTTGGTAAGATACTGTTTTCATGTTTTGTTCTAGTTTTTTAGACATAATGCACTTCAGTTTTTTTAACATATTTAAAATGTTGATTTAGTACCAACAGTGGTGGCCCAACTTGTAGGGTGCTGATTAATCTAAACAGGCCAAGCATGGTGGCACACGTTTTAATAGTTAACTGGGAGGCTGGGCAGAGAACTGTGACATGGCAAGACCCTAATGAGGATATTTTTCTCTCTCATTAAAAAAAAAAAAAATGAGGACCAACAGATGGTGTATGTCACTGAATTCCCACATGGCCAACCGTGCGTGGTTCAGGTCCCAGACCTGGTGGCTTCAAACTCATACCAGGTGCCTGTGCATGTGTGCCCAAGATCCTGATAGGAGAAAGGATTGTGGCATGGCCATCCCTCCTGGGGGTGACTTCTCACTTTTTTGTCTCTCTGTCTCCCTCTCTCTCTGGAGAGCACATGCATACCACAGCAAAATATCTCTCAAAAAAATGTTGATTTCAAAGTCTTTTCTAGTAAGTCTAATGTCTGGTCTTCCTCAGTGGTAGTATGTTTATTGCTTTTCTCCCCCATTTATGAACCATACTTTTTTGCTTGTTTGCATATTCCATAACTTCTTTTATTAAAAGACATTTGTTGGTGGACATTTGAAATAATATAATGTGGCAACTCTGGAAATCATATTTGCCTTGCTCCCCAGGATTTCGTTGTTGTTCTTTATGTAGTAACTTTTCTGAACTAATTCTGTTCAGTCTGTATTCTTTGTCATGTGTGGTCACTAAAGTCTCTGCTTTGTTAACTTAGAAATCAGCTAATGATTGGACAGAGATTTACTTCAATGTCTGGAACCAAAAATTCTGCCAATCTTTGCAAAATGGCTCTGTGGGCAATCGGGGAAACTCCAGCTCTTGGCCAGCCAGCTCACAACTCCACTTTAGTCTTCACTTCCTGCTTACACAAAGCCCTCAAGGTTAGCCAGAAATGAAATGTTAGGGTGTTCTTAGGTCTTTCTTCAGCACATGCCCATGCCTAGATGTGGGCATAGCCCTCAGCATGCAGAGTCTTCTGTATTTCCAGATTATGCTAGAGGTTTTCAAAGCCTCTATGGACATCTCATTCTAATTCATTAATTATTTGCTTAAACACCTCAGGCAACCATTAAGTTAAATAATTGCCTCCAAAAGTTTTCAGCAACACTCCCAGAGAAAAAGCTCCCATCAGGTCAAATACAGTCAGCCTTAGATGTGGGATCTTTAAAATACCTCCAGACAGGTCAAATTATGGTTGTCTGGGAAGAAGGGTTGAAGGAGCTCCAATCCCACTCTGCTCCTTCTGGTATCTCCCAGGCTGCTGGATTTCACCATGACTGTATGCTGCTGACTTGCAAGGCTTCTGTGGAACTGGAGAGAGGAGAATGGGAATAGGGCATGTTGCCTGCCACAAAGCTCATGACTCTTACCAAGGTTCATCCATTTCTCTTAAATAGATACTTTCCAGATGACTTCAAACCTATTGTTAATTGGTAGAGTTCTTTATAAAACTTGATTCTGACCACTGTGTGTGTGTGTGTGTGTGTGTGTGTGTGTGTGCGCCTGTACTTTTCTCATTCCTTTTGTGGAGGGGAGAATTTTTGGAGGCTTTTACTTCAAAATTTGGGCTAATATAATTTCTTTCACAGAAATAAAGATAATGTGTATAGTATTCCCAACCAGACTGCTGAAAAATGTATTTATGTTGGAATATTCACTTTACAAGCTAAGTGACATATGTGATTGAATGTATAAAAGAAATAGAAATAAAAAATAAAATAAGGAGAAACAAAACTATACAATATGTAGCCTTTTGTGTCTTGCTTATTTTATTCAGCATACTATTTTTTAGGTTTATCCATGTTGTACTGGGTATCAGTGCTATTTCTTTTATTGCCAAATACTAATCTATTGTATGAATGCACTTGCGCAGAAATGCTAAAATATGTCTGCTATTTCAAGGCACTCAAAAACGTTTCACCTTGAGGTATTAGATATATCTAACAATATATATAAATGGAACACTGTTTTTAAGGAATAATTGCAACCAGTATGTGTAATAAAATGGTTTATGATGTGATGGGCTTTGTTTTATTTAGCCACAATATTCATTTCTTTTGATGTAAGACATTTTTGTGGCTTTTAAAAATCCATCTATCCGGAGACCAGCAGATGGCATAATGGCTATGTCACTGGACTCCCCAACAGTCTACTGAGGTTCAAGTCCTGGACCCGGTGGCTTAAACTCATTCCAGGCATGTATGCGTGTGTGCCCAAGATCCCAAGAGGAGAATGGAGGGGAAGGGATTGTGGCATGGCCATCCCCTCTAGGGAGTGATTTCTCACTTTCTGTCTCTCTGTCTTTCTGGTGAGCGCACGTGCTCTTTAGCAAAAATCTCAAAAAAAAAAAAAAAAAAAAGATCCATTTTTCCTAAGTATTTGTTGAACAGTGACAAAATCCTACCCCTGAGGGAAACCTGAGGATAAGAGGGCATTTTATCATGGCATTTACAAGCTCACAGGGCTTATAGGACAAAGCTAACTAACTTAGAAACAGGAGAAACAGCACTAAAGTGCCATAAAGATAACAAAATAAAGTCATGTCTGCATTGAACACTTGATGTTTTATATCATTTATATCTTCTCTCTATGTTAGTTATAAACTTGTATTTAAATAAAAGTAATTCATATTTTTATTCTTAAAATAAGTTTAAAAATCATGATTGATGATTAAATCATGAAACAAGAAGGTTTGAGGATCATTTGATGGATGCTTTTCCTTTACCTCAATCATTTGTAGTCGGCCATGATGCAGTCGGTCAGGTCGTGGGTTACTTGGCTCCTCATAGACGATGGTCAAGTGCCCACCCTGTTTAAAGAAAAATGTGAAAGCATTATTGTCTTAGTTGGGATGTTTTGAGAGTTATAATTAATCTAATAATAAATTTTTATGAATCTATGTTAGATGGAATGTCTGACTCTAGAAAATAGTTCAGAATTAACTGACTGGCAAGATATCTATGACATGGAGGTAGAATAAAAATAGCTAACATGAGAGGTCTTCACATTAGCTCACTATCAGGGGGTCTCTGAAAGTTAAGGAAAATTCATATGATGAAAAGGACTTCAAAAATTTTTTTACCCAAATAAACTCATATTTTAATTCCTTTTTTCCACGAACTTTTTGAAGTTTTTCATGTCCAATTCATTTTTACAACTAGGAAACCAAGAAAACTGTTTTGACCCCATGTAGCTAAGAAAGATGGGGAAAAAAAATTTGAAACCAAGCTTTGGTAAACATAGGAAGTGCTGTTTTCGTTAATGCCAATAGGACCAGATTGTGGTAGCAAGAAAGTGCTTCAGTGAGGAGGATGGATAGGGCAGAAGCATTGGCAGAGGTCTGCTGTGTGCCAGCATTGCCAGGGAACTGCACAGCTGGAGCATGGAGGAAGGAATTAGCTCACAGCCCTCACTCTGTGAAGTCCAGCCTTGCTCACTCTCAGCTTCTACCTTCATTCTTTGCAGTGGTTCCTAAGGCAGTCTTAGCAAGGCAGCATAATGGGACAGTCAGCACCCACCATCACAACCTTGCTCAAGCACACAGAGAAGCTTTTCTGTTGTAATATGAAACCAAAAAAAGGTTTCATTCAACAGAGTTGGTGTTTCAGGAAGAAGACCACTGTGTGGAATCACAAATCATTTAGACCCTTAATCTAAGAAACAGCAACCCTAAAGTCTCTTAACTATAGTGGTTTGGTAAAAAGCAGCAAAGTAAATGTCTCATGAGCCTAAATTATTTTCATATTTGAAGAGAAAATTGGAGAAAAATCTAAATCATTACCTCTTAATGAATTCCAATAGCCTGTAAAACAAACTTTTTGGCAGTAAAAAATAGTACGCTTGTGGCCTGATCTACAAAATGCTCTACGAAAATACAGAACTGTAATCCAGCAATGCAGTGACAATATTTTTATTGTACAGCTATTTTTCCTTATAGTATAATTCTAAAATCTTTGCTGCTTTATTTTTAAGATGTTCTGCAAAGGTTTCTTGGAATTTTTAAAACAACAATAGACTTGTGGGACCAGCAGTTGGTGTAATGGCTATGTCACTGGACTCCCATGTAGTCGACCGTGGTTCCAGTCCCGGACCCAGTGGCTTAAACTCACACTGGGTGCATGTGCGTGCGTGCCCAAGATCCCGAGAGGAGAATGGAGGAGAAGGGATCGCGGTGTGGCCATCCCCCCGAGGGGTGATTTCTTGTTTTTTTATCTCTCTGTCTGTCTCTGACTTTCTGGTGAGTGCATGCACCCTATAGCAAAAACGTCTTAAAAAAAAAAAAGCAAAAACAATAATAGATTTGTATATTATTAAAAACAAACACAACACATGCCTGAACACAAATATCTACCAAGAATACTTGGCCCTTGGCTGTGATAAGGTGAGTAAGACATGCTAATCCCAGTTTGCAGTGAGTGACATGAGAAAACACTTCTGGCAGCTATAATGACATCACATTGATCACGGCATATAAAACAGAAACAGAGTCCCCTTCAGGCTATGGCATCCCAATCTATATTTAAGGTATTATGCCCTACATTGTAGAGGAGGGGACACAAAGTAAAATGAGACATCATTCCTTCTCTCAAGGAATTTTCTAGAATCTAACTCTGAGTTGTGTGCCAGACTCAATCAAAATCAAAGTGTGTAGATGTTACTTCTCTTTTCAAAAAAGCAAACAAAAAAAGGCAAAGTGCTCCCCCACAGTCTACATCAAGTTAAGTTCTTATCAGCATTAAAATACTCTTATTCCTACCCTTCCTGGCTTATTCCCAATGACTCAGAATGAACTGATAATACAGCCAAGTTGGACTGGTCCTCCCCTGAGCACAGCTTCCTGCCCCACACTACCCTTTGCTTTAGTTTGCCTTAGTCCCTGCTTCCCAAGGAGCATCTCTTCTCGTGCCATTTTTAAGGGCCTAGCTCAAAACACATCTTTTCCATAAAGCCTTTCGAGGGCCTCTCAGACTACTTAAAGTGCATTCTCCTGCTTAGACCCCAGCTCTGATAAAACCTTACCTGGACTTTTCAAACACATACTATTCAGTGGATTATAGTTATTTGAATTTTTCTCTTATTACTTTTTTGTTTGTTTGTTTTGTTTTGTTTGAGAGATTTTTGCTAAAGGGCACATGTGGCATGTGCTCACTGGAGAAACAGAGAGATATAAAGACAAAGAGCAAGAAATCACCTCCCAGAAGTGATGACCACACTGCAGTCCCTTCTCCTCCATGCTCCTCTCTGGATTTTGAGCTCTCACGCACATGTACCCAGCATGAGTTTCAAGCCTCTGGGTCTGGGATTTGAACTAGTTAGCCATGAGGGAGTTCAGAGATGTAACCATTATCCCATCTGCTGGTCCCTACCTCTCTCTCTTTTTAAGCTTATTTATTTATTTCTTCCATGAAAACAGAGACAGGGAAACAGAGAGACAGAGATGGAATAAAGGCACCCCCAATAGGGTGTGGCTCCCAGCCACAATCCACCCCTAGTCTCAACCATCCCAGATCGCAGGCACAGGATACTCAGGGGAATCCTGGGACATGAACACAAGGCCCTTCCCTTTTGGGTCTAGTTGCATCAAGAGTGCATTGCCTCCTGGCCTTCTCTCCCTTCTTTTTGCGGAAAGGGGTACTTGTTCTTTATAGAGCCCAGCAATGTGGCCCTGCATGAGGAAGAACTCAAAAACATTTATGAAACTGAATTAAAAGAAACATAAAAATTGTTTCACATGAGGCATAACTGTGTAAAGCAAAGGTGAAACCCAATGAAGTATTTTAGGAGGAAAGAGGAGAGAAACCATTTGATCACGCAACATATTATACGCCTCCTCTCTAGCTTTTACAAAATATTAGAAACAAATAAATCCAAACATTTGGCTGCATATCAAAGTATCCTAAAATCAGATCAGCACCAACTGCAACCTCCATTTCCTGCCCTTGGGTCGTGTTCTGACACCTACAGTGAGCTGCACATCAGGCTTTTTTTCCAGAAGAACCATGTCGCCAGGTAAGCCAAAGGACTTGACCTGGTAAGTAAGGTAGCCACCATACGAAGAAACCTAAAATTGAATTGATAACATAATTAGCACAAGCATTAAAAGAAACTATGTCAACATTAACCCACATAAAAAATACAAAAGCACATAAAGATACACAACCAACTTGTTAACAAGGTTCTGTCTGGAGTGGGATTGAGGGCAGTATTTTAACTTTCTACTTTATACCATTTTCTCTATCATTTAAAACATTTGTAACAAACATGATTGATCTTTACAAGCAAGAAGACATTTCTATTAAAATGAAAGGTAGAGATTTCTATTCAAATGAAAGGTGGAGCTGTTCGTTCAGTGGTTCAGTGGTAAGAAACCACGTTCTGTAAGATCTACTCACAGGGGCAGGTTCTGGATTTGTGTCTGGAGACCTCCCTGAGCATGCTGAGCGTGCTAGTGCCTAGACAAGTCTGGCTGAGACTGAGAGTGGATCACAGCATCAAGATTCTATTGTTTGTCTCCCTTCTCTCTCACACGAGCAAAAATGTAAATAAACTTTAAAAATAGAAAATAATCCTATTAAAAAAAAGGATCCTTTTCTTTTTCAAGGTGACTACAAAACAAAAATGGTTTTATTTTATTTTTTAAAGTTTGTTTCTCCAGAGAGAGAGAGACAAAGAGCCTTGACAGGGTTTTCATGTTGTAATCCACCCTAGCCTCAGCCAGCCAGGATCATAGGCACATGTGCACACACCCAGGGTGTTTAGGGAGACCTCAGGACATGAACCCAGGACCTTTTCTTGAAGTTTTCAGCATTGCAGAATGTTATGTTGCTGCGCCATCACAGTTGGTCCCAAAATGTTTACCTCATCCACAGATAGTCTAGGAAATCTAGGTCACTGGTTTCTTACTTAACGGAGAGAACTGGGTAATATCTATCAGTCACAAAATGAGTCTCTAAAAATAAACTTTAAAAATATATTCTCAAGAAAGCAGATGGTAAATATGTCCTAAGTTATTACAAATTTTCCTGAGTACAAAAGCCATGATTGGCTGCTCTCAGTGCCTCAAAAGCAGCAAGATCAGGGAGGTGAATGGCCATCGTTTTCTTTCTCTCTTTTTTTCCTTCAGTTTTATTTTATTGTATAATTCTTATTTACATTTAATTGTTGTGCATTTTTGGGGGGCACCGTAGTTTTCTGACAACTATATCACCACTGGTCCTAATACCTCCTGCCCTTCAAGTAAAAATCAATCAAAAAGGAAGGCATGACCAGGGGTAGAAATCAGAGGCAATAACACCTTGAAGTCAACAGAACAAGATACCCTACAGGAAAATGGGGAAGAAGGGGAAGAAGCAGCTCTTCAGCCATCTCAGGTCACAGAACCTTTTCCCTAGAATCTGTGACTCAGTACATCGTGGCACCTGGAAGTATCCAAGGCACGGTTCTGGTGCACTGTATTGAGATTAAGTACTGTCTTTTGGGTGGGCTAAGGTGCTTTTAAAAATAGGTCCCCAAATTCATTGTTCTCCTACTTCAAGAGTGAAACTTAATTCCCTGCCCCTTGAGTATGAGCTGGACTCAGGGACTCACTTCTAATGAATAGAATAAGGCAGAAGTGAAAGCATGTCAATCCCAAATTAGGTTATAAAATGATTACAGCTTCTTTCTTAATTGCATGTGCACTCTCTCGCTAGCTCACTCTCTCTCTCAAGTTGCTTTGGGGGAAGTCAGCTGCTAGGTTATGAGGATACTCAGTAGCCTCTGGAAAGCCTCAGTCATGCAGCAAGGAAGAGAGGCCTACTAACAATCATGTGAATGAAGTTGGAAGTTCAGTCCAGTCACAAATGGATACAGCCTGGCTGACACTCATAAGTTTTTTCTTTCATGAGAGAAAGTAAGGCATGGGGGGGAAAGAGAGAGGAACCCCCATTAGGATCTTCACACATGATTGCTGCCCAGCTTCACCAGCCAGGAGCCAGGATCGTGGGCATGGCACCTAGGTACAGAGACCTTGGCACAAACCTGGGACCTTCCCAGGTAACTTCAGCATAGCAGAGCATTTTGTTAACACTGTACCACGTGGTTGGACTGGCAGAATTTTGAACTGCAATCTCATGACAGACACTGGGCCACCCCCAGATGGATTCCTGATCCACGGACCCTGTGCAAGATAACAATTGTTGGTTGCTTTAAGCTGCAGAGTGTTGGGACCATTTAGTACACAGTATAGATTACCAACACCTGTGCTAACCTTGTAGCGGTGACAAGGAGTACTACATGCGAGAGAAGTGGAGTCATGTGAGAAAAGCAATATTGCCTATGCTCGGATGTCAAAACCTATGGTTCTTGGGGACCAGCAGTTAGTGTAATGGCTATGTCACTGGACTCCCACGCAGCCGACTGCGGTTCGCGTCCCAGACCCGGTGGCTTAAAACTCATGCCAGGCGTGTGTGCGTGCGTGCCCAAGATCCCAAGAGGAGAATGGAGGAGAAGGGATGGTGGCGTGACCATCCCCTCTGGGGGGTGATTTCTCGCTTTCTGTCTCCATGTCTCTCTCTGTCTATCTGGTGAGCGCACGCGCCCTATAGCAAAAACCTCTCAAAAAAAAAAAAAAA